AATTACCGCCCTGATTCATTCAGCAACAAGGGCATTCCCAGAGCCCACCCCCTGCCAGGCCCCTCTGCTTCAACACAATCCTTTCTTCCAGGATGCCTGCTCTTCCTGCCCTTTTATTCTGGAGAGGTAACGGGGGAGCTTTGTACAGGTCTCAGAATATTCTTTGAGTCCTTTCTACATGGTCCAAGATTACTGTAATTGTTTTGTTGATTTATAGCGGCAGCTGTGTTGTTTTTTTTTTTTTTAAAGTGGCTGCCCTAGAAAACGTCTCCTCTCTTCAAGTTTTTTAACCCAAGCTGAGAGTTTCTGTTTCTCTGAAGAAAAATAAAATCAATGATTAATAACATACCAACTATGTTAAGAAAGGCTTGTGCCATTGTATTGCTTCTATTAAATTTTCAGGCTTCTCAATTAGCTTTGATTTTTCTTAACTGATTAAATTAGGAGAAAGTAGTGTTTAGTTTTTAATTACTGCCAATTTTGTCTCCTTCTAATACAGCCTTGAAGCATTTACATTGTAGTTCAGTGTTCTTGGCATTGTCTAAACAAAAGATCCCTCTGAGAATTAACAAGGAGCTACAAGTCTTCCCAGAAGAAAAATGTAAGTACACACCAAAGTGTACATGTAATTTCGTGATTTACAGATCCCTTGCAATACCAGGTTGACAATTCCTGCCCTCCGATCAATCACTGATGACACTTTCCACTGAACAGTCCACAGTCTTTCAATTGTTCCCACACCAGGAAGTCTCTCCTCTTTGCTGCCTCTCCACGGTAAGAATTGATCAGAAACAGCAACCTTGGACCCATGGTTGCATAACTCATTAGTAACAATTTGTTACACAGTGTACAACAAGCAATGCTTTTGTTGATGGTGGCGATAATGCCTTTTGTTTGGGACACTTTAAATAAATATTTCATGGATAATTTCCCATTCTGACCAACATAATTACAACTGAAGTCACTGGCAATCAAATGTGCATGGACACATTTAAAAAAATCCGTAAATTTGGAAGAAATCATTATCTCAAAGCATTGAGTTGAAAGAACATCTATGGCATTTAAGAAAAGAGAAACAAGCTGGGTGTGGCAGCACACACCTTAAATCCCAGCACTCAGGGAGGCAGAGGCAGGAGGATCTCTGTGAGTTCAAGGTCAGCCTGGTCTACAAAGCCAGTTCCAGGACAACCAGGGCAACACAGAGAAACCCTGTCTCAAAAAACCAAAAAGAAAAGGAGAAACGTGGGACCTGGAATAGAATTTATGGCAAAAATTATCTGGTTTTTGCCATGAAATTAGGAATGAAAAAATAAATAAAGTCATAACTTGAAGGTATAAAAATCTCGACTACCAAATAACATATGCCTAAATCACAGTATTTTTTTAAAAAAATTAATAAAATCTTGAATGTTAAAAAAATAAAGAAATTAAGAAATCACATAAGAGAAGAATTCTAACAGGAAGTTACTAATTAAAATAATGCTATTAAGTAGGACAGGAAGATGGCTCAGCAGATAAAGGTACTTGCCACCAAGCCTGACAACCTGAGTTCGATCCCCAGAATGTATATAACTGACTCCTCCTCTGACCTCCACACACACGTTACTGCAAACATCTCTCTCTCTCTCTCTCTCTCTCTCTCTCTCTCTCTCTCTCTTTCTCTCTCTCTCTCTCACACACACACACACACACACACACACACACACACACACACACACACACCAAGGATTTAAGCCAGAGGGATGTGGCGTTCAAGATGGTGACGAATCGAATGCATGAGTGGAGTAAAGAGCAAGGCTCAGGGTGACAAGGATACTTCCATTCCCAGTAAATCAGAAATGAAAATGAAATCACCCACGGGAAGATGTCAAGGGCAGAGCTGGCAAGGTAAGGCTTTTTGAAAGGTATGGGTAGTGAGGTATCCTGGCCCCGATCAAGATGAGGAAGCATGGATAGCCAAGGAGACGCATCAGCCAGGTACGGATGCTCTGGGAGGATGGGGTGATGGCCAGTGTAAAGATGCTGCTGGCAGAGTGACAGAGAATGTTACTGTGAGGTGTGTGTGTAACAGGAAGAGTCTATTCCAAATAGGAGAGCGTGGGGTCTAAGCTCCTGGAAATGATAACGTAGTCAGGGTGGCAGGCACAGCCACTGGACAGGAAAGAAGGCCCAGAGACCTGGGAGAGTGAGCAAAGAAGGATTCTAAACCCAAGGCCCAGATTACCCCCGCCAAGGCAAAGATAAGCATGTGAACAATGCCACCCGCATTGTGACACAGGTCACACATCTCTCTTAGGTTCCCCATCTCTCCCTGTGATCGAGCTGTGTCTCAATAGCTGTCACTTAGATTCCTAAAAGTGTGCTGACCAGCTTCCCCGTAGGGGAACGACAGCACTAAGGGTGAAGCCAGTATTCAAAACTTCCCAGAAGAACTATTAGATTTCCTACCTGAACTTACAGATGTCACATTAGGAACGTGATTTGGCGTAGCAGCTTAATTTTGAAATTTGCAAAGCTCTCTCACATAAACCTTCTGAGACAATCCTAACTACTATTCCCATGAAACTCTGGAATTCTCTTTTTTTTTAAGGCATTATTTTTTTAAGCTATTATGTAGCTCTAGCTGCCCTGGAACTGACTATGGAGACCAGCCCTCAAACTCACAGATATCCACCTGTCTCTGCCTCCTGAGTGCTGCAATTAAAGGCATGTACCACCATGCCTGGCTAGAATTCTTACATTATAAATAAGAAACAGATTCTACAGTTCTGGCTTTGGATTGTTAACGTAAATCTTTTTCTCCTGATAGAGAGATTCTATTTGGTGTGGTTCACTTAATTAACATTTGAGTTTTGAAAAGTCAATCCTTCAGAAAGCTACAGATTAGCCATTAATTAAAGCTAAAAAATGTTATTCAAGGCATCTAGTTGATTCCTGATCATTGGAATAAACCAAGGGGACTGTCTTAACTTTATTGAACTTTCATAATGATATAAGCAAGTTTTGGAGATGAAAGAAAGTTTAAACAAGTCTCTATACACACTCACTATTAGGTATAGAATATGGTAGGAAAAAAAAACAATTCAATCCATTTACTCTTCTACAATCACTATAAGTAGACTCTTGAGTTAGATGCATGACTTCATCTTCCTAATAATGATTTATTTCTCTTTGTTTACTCCAGACAGTATTTAGGTCCCATGGTCACTTGTGCATGGTTCATGCCAGCTATATGACAGCATAATTAGGAAATAAGGGCTTGGGAGATAGCGTAGTGGGAAAGAACATTTCCTATACTAATGTAAGGACCTGAGTTTGGATCCGTAGTACCCATGTAAAAGTAGGGGGTGGGGAGGCCGCACAGACTGGCAATCCCTGACCTAGAGGACAGACAGGTGGATCCCAGAAACTTGGCCTACCCAGCCTAGCCAAACAGTAAGCTCCAGGTTCAGTGAGAGACTCTGTCTCAAGGGAATGAGGTGGACAGCGATAGAGCCGGACACTCAGTGTCTTTCTCTAGCCCCCTCCCAACACATATGCATGCAGAAAGAGAGAGGGGGGAGGAAGATGTGGCATTAGAGTAGAATTCATGCGCTTTATGATGGAGTCAGGGAAGAAGTAAAAACAGGAAAGAGTGGGTTCCACACGCGTTCATCCATGTTTCTCTTTCCCTTGGTTGCTTTTCAACCCTTTCATCTAATGGCACAGGAAGGAGAGAAGAGAAAGAGACAGAGAAAGCAAACTAGGAAAGCCCCAGATCCTCCCAAGGAAAACATGAGGCTCAGGCATTGACTAATGACCCTTCTAGTCATTGAAAGTTCACTGTAAAGGTTATTATTTACCTCCCTATGATCATAAAAGTATCTACTTTTCTAAACTACAAACAGTAGCTTCTTGGTTCTTGTTTACTTAAATGAATATACGATACATTTTTAAGTCAGGTAATATTGCATGATTTAGTTCCTAAGTGAGTTGGGTGTGATGTTTTTTGTTATGTAATTATTAACTGAAATGTCATTGTAGGACCATATTGTATGACACCACATTGATGTCAATGGCAAAAATCTGGAACTGTATAAAGCATACAATATATTCTACAGGAAATGCTCTGCCAGACTACATTTATATCTAAGTTCAACATAAAACCCAAAGGCAATCGCTGAGCAGGTGTGTATGTAAGCCACTGTACTGTAGAACAGAAACACTTTATCCAACATAAAGAACAAAACACTGAGCATTATAAGTCTGTGATTATCTTAGGAGCATATATCATGGTATACTGTTTCTCAAACTGAAACGTTCAAGAGGTCCATCTAGAAATTGGAAGAAAAATATAAAGTTTGGTTTCCATGTAGTAAACTTAATACTGTAAATGTCAATTTTTTTATATACTCATTTTAAAAGGAAAAAGTCTACATGACAAAAATCCATATATACATACAGAAAATGAGAAGGATCCCATGTAAAACAAACACTGCAGACTAATACTGAATGCCTGCCCACATTCTGTCAGAGCAGGTAATTCTATCACTCCTGATTCATGGGTCTCACTTGGTTATTAACTCTACAGAGATGACGTTCAACAATATGCAAAATTTTCCATCTTGACCAAACAAAACCTGGTTATGTGCCTGATGAGACCCTTCATCACCCCATAATAGCATCTACAAGCAGATCTGAAGGCTGTGGAAAAATCATCCTATGAGGAAATCTGACAGAAACTCATGAACGACCTTAAAGGCTGTGCCCCTTCCTTAGATCACGATGGCAATGACTTCACTCAGCTCATGTTGCGGTTGTCCTGAAGAAAGAAAGAGGTTAGCATGCCCTTTGTGGTATAATCAGGAGGATCGATTTCAACTCCTAGGTGAACTCTCACAAATTTCTAAAGATCTAAATCACCTGATTAAACCGTGTGTGTGTGCAAAACAATCCCACTGGGCAGGTTTCCTGGTTTAAACATTTTAATTCCGAAACATAAACAGGTCTAGAATACTCACTTTTAGTTTCTTGTTTAGTTTACAGCAGTATCTGTACACCATTGCCAAGTTCAGAGGTCCAAAATCTGCATAGAAACTGAGATATATACATATATATAATAGCATTTAGTACAAGCACAGTTTTCAGTAATATAGATGCTCACTTTTAACTTCATCTAATTTGTAATCACATTTCAATTATCTTCAGGAATAGGTTCATCCCCTAAGTAGTCTGGTCCGTGCCAATCCAGGTACCTCAGGGTTCCACCCTACTCGTACCCTACAGTTCTTCTAACCAATCTCTTAACAGAGAACTAGTTGGGCAATTTTGAGTTTTAAGTCCTTTTAACTCCTTCCTGTGCCATTTAGATGAAAGGGTTGAAAAGCAGCCAAGGGAAAGAGGAATGTGAATGAACTCGTGTGGAACCCACTCTTTCCTGTTTTTACTTCTTCCCTGACTCCATGGTAAAGCTCATGAATTCCTCTAATCCCACGTCTTCCACTCAAACACCCTCAGCTCTCATGTATCCAGCTGCAGTGGTCCTTTTTCCCTGTCCATTCTTCTTAAACGTCCTGTATTATAAGACATATTGGCTCCCCTTCACTCCCCTACACCTCCAGAATACAGTCATCAACCTGAACATAAATCTCTCTTACCCACTGTCATGAGTCTAATTTGTGACCTAATGGAAAAGAGTGCTCTTGTCTACCTCTGACCCAGGACTGGTCTTCACCTTCACCTTCCTACTGGACCCACTGTCTACAGGCCTTCCAATACCTCAAATTCAGTGTGCCTACACACATCTTTCCTTCAAAATAGCCCTGAGCTTTTCTGAATCACAGGAGCATAAAACCGCTCACACACAGTACAGCAAAGACATTATTCCATCAAAGGAGCTACCACTCTCATATACCCCTTCCCTTTCTGTCCCCAGTGACACATCAGAAGCCCAGCTCCCCTTCAGCTTAGTCATGTTCTGTTGGAATTCTCAGTCTCCTTCCCAATGATGGCGCATTTCATCATACAATTCAATCTCTCTTCTTTCATTTCCTCCTACTACTCAAAATTGCTGAGTGGCTCCTCACTACTAAAGGATGACTCCACCACCCAGGAACCAAAGCTTAACACGACATGCTCCTAGCTTCCAGGCTGATCCCGTCTCCTAACAGGTGCCTCTCGGGATCTTCATTCCACAAGACACATCCACCTCTTACCTCCAAACATTCACCATCCCTAATGCTACCCTCCACTCACAACAGTCCTCTGGTCACTCTCCTTAGTTTCCTCAAGATGGCCTTCAAATGCAACCTCCACAAAGCCTTTGCAGTCACATTAGGGAGCACTAACTAAGCTTTGCTCAAAGTCCTCAAAACTTTCCATTTCACTGACTCTTTCAGCAAAATACACATAACGTCACATATTATGGAGAATTTTACATGAAGAGTCTGTCTAATCAACTGCAACATGAGCTTCCCCATCAAGGAACCCATTTATACTTTTTACAGATTTGGAAGAACGTCCTAGATGCAATACAACTAAAAATGAGTCACCATGCAGAAATGCTCACTAGTACTCTAAATTCAACTCAGTCTAGAGCACAAACGTATTAAATACCACCAAGTTTGCAGAAGCCCATCTTTGAAACCCCCTCTTACTGAGAAAGACATTTAAGTCTTTTCTGCCACCCAAATTACATACGCCACTCCAACTACAAGTCTGCCAATACCTCCTGGCCTTAGGTAAGTAAAAAATACTGACTTTGGCCAGGCGGTGGTGGTGCACACCTTTAGTCCCAGCACTCGGGAAGCAGAAGCAGGCAGATTTTTGTGAGTTCGAGGCCAGCCTGGTCTACAAAGCTAGATCCAGGAAAGGCGCAAAGCTACACAGAGAAACCCTGTCTCAAAAAACAAAACAAAACAAAAAAAATACTGACTTTGCATGTGTTATTCATGTTAAACAAAGTAGGAATGTTGTGGAACATATAGAACTAAAATTGGCTGACTTTACAACAAGGTTCATGAAAAAAATAATAACACAAAATGACCCAGACAAAGGAACTTCTAATGATTTGAAGAAAAATTTCCTTATTTATTTCTAAAGTTCTCAAGGTGGTGTTAATTTAGTTCTAAAGTTCCCAGTGCGATGCTAGGCTATAAATATAAACAAGAACCCACTGAAAAACATTAAAATGAGGGCTGGAGGTGTATCTCCAGGGCACGGCACACACTTAGCATGCACAAGTTTCCACTAATGAGTCCCAGCACCAGGGGGGGAATAAGAACGCATATACATAGGGACCTAACTGCATTGTTTAGGGCAACACTGTCTTTACAGCAGAGAGTTTCTTGTTCTTGGGTTCCTTGAAAGCAGCACTTTTTAACAAACATACCTTGCAGTTTTGTTTTTTGTTTTGTTTTGTTTTTTTGGAACATACATATTGACTCTTGCATAATTTAAAATTAAATGTGGAACGTTGGTCATTATCTCAGCTTTTGAATTCATGCTGAACAGGCTTCAGAAAAGCACAAATTGGGGCTAGAGGGGTGAGGGTTTAGTGGTTAAGGGTACTGGCTGCTCTTTCAGAAGAGCAGGGTTCAATTCCCAGCACCCACTTGGTGGCTCCCAACCATCTGTAAGTTTAGTCACAGGAAGTCCACTGCCCTTTCCTGGCCTCCATGCGCCTTGTACACACAGTGCACAGACACATGCAGACAAAACACGCACACACGTAAACAAGAAAATGAAAACAATCAAAACATTAAATTTAAAAAAGCACAAAGAATCCAAGTCATGTAACTCCAGCTTCATTCTAACAGCTACATATCAACTTCATCCTCACGCTCAAAGCTACACAATGAAGCCCACTTCTATAAATTCACTTTTAGAAGCAGAATGGTTAATGAACAGAACTATTTTACCAAATTCTAGAAAGGTAAGTGGGTATCTTCCAATAACACAAAATCAAGTAAATCAAATGTGGACCTCATCTTTCCAGCATGGGAAATAGATGTAGGCTACTTCAAATGACAAATTTTAATTTCAGTTTTCACATCTGAAAACTGAAGAAGACATTTCTCATTAAAACATACTCAAAAGCCACATGTGGCTAAAGACTACAGAACTGGCCTGTGTGAAGCAATAATGGACAACAACAATCAAGACGAAAATATAAGGTCGGAACAAAAATGGCCACCACGCATTGAGGAATTGCTAGCAACAAAAAAAAAAAAAAAAAAAAAAGATACAGATAAAATGCTTTTAGTGAGGTACTATCCCAAAAAATAAGGGAGGGAAGCAACTTGGAAAAGTCATCTCTTTATTAGCTCATGAACCCCCGCCCCCACACACACACACATACACATTTCTTTAATTTTTTTTTTTTTAAGAAAAAAATCTGAAAGTGGAGTAGTCTCCTGGACTTGTAGTCCAAACACTCACCAATGCCTTCTCTGTTCTGTCAAATCCCAGCAAAATATCTCAGCTCAACAGCAAGCAAAGACTCCTCTTCCCACCTTGTCTTGGGGGAGGGGGGCAATTCTCCAGCCTCATTCGGGTAGATAGATATAGTATTTTATCGTATCAGAGCACCTTCCTCTCCAAAGGAATGAATAAAGAAACCAATCTCCCCACCAATACATACATTTCCTCTAACAAAGTTGGCAAATTATAGGTCAATAACTAAAATGAAATCTCAAGAAGCTTAAGAAATGAACATCAGGCAACAGTTTTCTTTAATTCAATACGTGTAAAGAGCTAAAATCAAATTACTTTGTTTTGACAGCAAAAAAATTCAGAGAACTGAGTGAAGCTGTGAAGTCCTCAGATGGGGGCGGCTGGGGGGCGGGGGGGGGGGGGGGGGGGGGGGGGGGGGGGGGGGGGATGGAGAGGAAGGCTGTGTCCCTATCAAAGGACCAAGGAAGGAGAAGCCCAGGAGCAGAGAAGACATTTTCCAGGGTCACCAGCTGCCCACAGTGTGACAGGAAACAGAAGCTGAGCCCAGAGGCCACTGGTCAGGCCAGCATGTCCTGCTCTTCTCGCAAGATTTACACAACCTATAGCTTATCGTTATCGTTGGGTTTTCTGGTGAGCTGTCATTTACATGAGTCTGTTCCTCGGGAGATCATCGTTTGGAGCACCACTCTGTTGATTCTACACAACAGAAGCTTCATGCGAAACTGTTCAACCCCTCAGCACAAAGAAATGCTATCCTGTGAGCGCTACCTATTCCCACCACAAAATTTATGGACACCCATCCTAAGCAAGATGCTACAAGTTAACATATTAATTAATTAAAGAGTACTTATGAAATCAAGAAGACTATTGTTTTTTAAAAAATGAAAAAATACTGTAAGAGCATAAGGCATACTAATTCTTTGCTTTTCATTTGTGTGTGGTGTGTGTGTGTGTGTGTGTGTGTGTGTGTGTGTGTGTGTCCAGGTTCTTGTGTGAGGCTGTACGTGTGCCACCGATGAACGTGGAGATCAGAGGCTAACCTTTGGGTGCTGATCCTCACCTCTCCTTGTTTGAAACAGTCTCTTCATGGTTGTGTGAACCAGACAACCTGGCCCAAGTCTGCAAAGCATCCTGTCTCTGCCTACCATCTCCCCATAGGGGCATGCTGGAATTACAGACACATTGGGCACTTCTGTGAGTGCCGGCCATGTAAACTCAGGTTATCAGACAAACCTTTACCCACTGGGTCATCTCCCCAGCCCATCTTTAACTTTTTAAGAGCACTGTTGAGACTGCCTGTTCATTTGCTCACTCCATTACCTACTGAAAGCCCACTGCCCGCCAGTCCCTACCCACGAGTAATTCACTACCTACTGAGAAAAACCAGTATTTCCGCAAATATATATAATGCTAAACTAGCATTGTCCTTCCAACACACAGATTACACAGATGTCCATGTGTCTGCAAGTTTGTTGAGATTAACCAGGACTGCCTCTGGTCGACCAGCTCACGTTCGCCTTCCTCCTGATGTTTCCCTCCAGCCCGAAGGTGTTTCTGATCATGACGAAAACTCATAGTGATCACATTTGCAGAAGCTCCCAATCACTTGGCGAACACTAACCTAGTCAGAGTGTCTACTCATG